TAGGTCTTTGTATTTTGCTTTGGGTATTCAGCACTATGGTAGACAGAATGAAAATGGCCTCCAAGGAGATGTGAAATCCCTCAGGAGAGAGGTTACAGGTAGGCCTCAATGTAGGCATTTGCTTAGCTCTGTGTAAAGCCCTCGGTTAGATCATCACCAACTGCAAGACATAAAACAAAATAAAATAAGAGGAATGAAAGACTGGGGAGTAGATGCTGTAATGTCCCATAAATGAAGTAAAATCTAATAACATTCAAAAACATAGGTGGAAGTTTAAGCCTTGGGAAAAGCAGCAGGAATGTCTCTGGGACAGTGGCAAAGATGGGCATAACGTGTGGATGAAGTTTGAATTCACAGGAGGACAGAGCTTACGTCTGTTCTTTTATGTGTGAGATAGAAGAGTGGCAAGGACATTTGTTATGTGAATGAACAGGGTGGGGCGAGGCACCTGGTGAGCTTGGTCATGGATGGAGAAAATTGCCTGGAATGCAGTAGAGGCTGTCTGAGTTTATTTTTATATTTTTTAAATTTTAAAAAAAAAATTTTTTTTAGTTATACATGGACACAATATCTTTATTTTGTTTATTTATTTATTTATTTTTTTAATGTGGTGCTGAGGATCAAACCCAGTGCCTCACATGTGCGAGGCAAGCGCTCTGTCACTGAGCCACAACCCCAACCCTCTGAGTTTATTTTGTGCTGCCACAGCAAAATTCTACAAACTGGGTAATTTATCCGGAACAGGAATTTATCGGTGCACCAATCTGGAGGTTAGAAAGATCAAGATGGAGAAGACTTTCCTTATGAGAGCCTTCTTGCTTCATTATAATATGGCGGAAGGGGTTACAAGGAAGGGGGCAAAAAGAAGTGGGGAGAGAGAGGAAGAAGAAGAGGGGCCCAACTAATTATTTTATAAGAAATCCATGTCCCCAATATGGTATTAATCTACTCATGAGAGCAAAATCTTCATAGCAATATTACCTTTTAAAGAGTCTACCTATTAATACCATTATAGTGGCAATTAAATTTCAACATGAGTTTGGGAGGAGACAGACACACCATAGCAGAGAATTTTAAAGACAGGGTGAATTTGATTAAAATGTTCAGGTGATCCTTGGCTTTTGGTTCTCTTATTAATTCAGCTAATATCCTATTGCTATACTGGGACACTATTGAATAACTGTAAGTGGTTTCTCTGACTCTTGCAGTGATCTAGGATTCCTGTTTGAAGTGGCCAGTTCTCACCTTTTCTTGCTTTTTTTAGTATCTATGTTGTTTGAAAAATAGCCTTTTCTAAAGTCTTTCCAGACTTATTCATGTCTTGTAGACCAGCTCTAGATACAAATCTTTCAGACAGTTTTCAATGGTTCCCCAACTTTTCAAATACCTACCAAATAAATTCTGGTCATACCTAGCATAGCTGACAATTTTGTCCTTACAGACAGACAGTGCCTGAATTTTTAGGCAGCTGCATGTTCAGATAGGACCATTCTCTTCCTTTCAATAGTCTTTGCTCATTAAACCTTCTTTCCCTTACTTCTTTTTATTTTGCTTAGTTCTTAATATACTTACTGTACTTGCGTTTTTATGGCTTAAACAACAAATAAATACCTGTTCTTTCAAAATGAAGCAATTCATATTGTTATTTATTGCTTATTGCAATGAAGTTACCTTTAAAGCATTATTTTTAATTGTACAGGGTGTTGAATTGTAAGGATGTATCATGGTTTTAATTTTGTACTGATTATTTTTCAATACAATTTCCAATTTTTCCTGTCATGAATATTTTTTTGTGTGTATTTTTTAGGATATCCAGTCTAGTAGTGGTCAATATTTTTGTCAGTTGTTTTTTGACATTCATGTTTCTTCTTTAAGAGAAATAAAGGAAATTATATGCTTGTATGTATACACATACACACCTACTTATTGATTATAATCTCTTTCTCTCTTGCATTTGGAATAAAATATTTCTCATTTAAAGGCAATATAAATACAGTACTTTTGGAGTTGTGATTTTTCACTTATTATTTATTTATTTTTCTGAGGTACTGGGGATTGAACCCAGGGCTTTGCATATGCTAGGTAAGTTCTCTACCACTCATCTGTATCTCCACTACAGCCTTTTCATGGTTATATCTTTAATCAATACAACCTTACTTTTGAGTTAGGGGATGTTGATAGTGGACAGACGGATGCAAATAGTGGAAACATGAGGTTAAGGGAATAATTCTATAAAATGAGCCTCCTGTGTTGACCCCACTTGTTTTCTTTTCAAAGAAGCAATTTACCTGCAGGCCCTGCCTGGCTTAAGTGGACAGAATATATGAAACTATGTTTTATTCATATTTATACCCCTGATACCCTCAGCATACTACTCGTCATCTGCAAGAGAAATGTAGGCCAAAATAATATTTGATAAGAGGAACCCAAGTTACCCTGAAAGGGGAGAATTTTGTGACTGTTTTCACAGACCAGATTCTGAAATTCAGGGAGATAAGGATGATTCTATAAGTTAAAAGATAAATCTGTAAAACTTCATGGTTAAGAATTCAATTAAATGTGACCTAGAGTTGACATGGCCAGTGGGGACTTGAAAGTCTGATGTCATCCTGCTGTCAGTCAAAAGTCAAGAAAGAATTGGACCTGGGCAGGACTTTGTGGAGACTTCTCTAGGCCCCCCAATAAAACTGGACTGCAGGAGAGGTAGTTGTCCCTCTCCTTTATGACAGGACCAGCTCTCTCCCTTCAGTGTCCCCTTTTCCTTTTCCTATCTCTTCAATAAACTGATTGCCTGTTACTACGAGTGACATGTCTGAAATCTTTCTGACTTGATTGCAAGAATCTGAGTTTAAAGAGGGGTTCTTCGTACTTTCCTGGAAGGCCCAGTCTGGTAAAACTTACACTGTTTATTGAAGAGGCTATCCTTTCTCCACTGATTTTAAATCATCATATACTAAATTCATTTATTTAATTAAACATGCTCAGATTTAGTTTCTGGATGTCTGTGGACGGGGACGGCTATTGACTTATATCTTTTTGTGCTGGTAGCACACTCTTAATGGCTATTATTACTGAAAGTTCCACCTTTGTCCTAATGGACATAGATTTGAGAAAAAATGAACAAGAAGTTTTATTGCTTTGCTGGGGAAGGAGAAACACAAGGGACTCCTGACCCAGAAGCTGTGATTCTTCCTATCATGGGGAACAGAGGATTTTTAAAGCAGTGGTTCAGAGGTTTCATTACATATGTGCTCTGTCGGGGATTGTTGACTTGGGAGATAGATGTTTCTTAGGTCTTCTGGTGCCATCCCTGAAGTCTGAATTGCTTCATTCCTGTGGTGTGAGTGCTCAAGTACAGATAACTCAGCCTAGAACGCAAAGAAGGGCAATATTGCTTTCCCCAAAGTTCGAGATGGGGAGAGAACAAGAGAAAAGGAAAAAAAATGTCAGTTTTAAAATAAGTTGCAATGGCAGAGCAGCAAGGACTAGGTTCAAAGCATTAAGTGGGCCACTTTTACACTGTTATAATTCATCATAGGTGGGGAGGAAAAGATTCCATCAATACGCATTTTAAAAATAAAATAGTTGGTTATTCTAGCACATTTTTTTCTTCAACTATACTTTTTATGAAACAACTTTGGATCTTGGTTTAGAGATGTTTCCAGATTAATTAGGGGCATAATGTATTCTTTACTACATTAAATTTTCTAATTCAGGATTATGGTGTGTCATCCTTTAAAAAATTTCTTAAATATGAAAGTTGTTTTCAAATTGTAATAATACTGACTGCTCCATTCACTGACTCAGGGATCCAGGCTCTTTCTGTGACATGACTCCCTTCCATACCCCTGACCCCTTGAAGATTATGGTAGCTGTTCCCATAATAGAAACAAGTGGCTTGTCTACATTTCCTTTTAGCACCAAGTGGTAGAATTTGTGAATTTGGCCTCCTTCCTCTACTAGCTTGTATTCTGTAAGAAGAAAATATGTTTTATTCATATTTATACCCCTGATATAAGGCATGGCACATGGTTGTGATTTTTAAAATGTTTCTTAAATTAACAGATTAAAAATATGTAATGCTTACAAAAATGTCTTGAAAGAATCCATCATAATGATGGGTTTCAAGTGATTAGGAAACCCCCCCCCAAAAAAAAAAACAAAAAACAAAAACAAAAAAACCCTAGTCCATTACCCTAAAAATTCCTGTAAAAAGTTTTCATCTCTTGGTTGCTTCCAATTCTTTATCTATTTCTAGTTGTTAGCCACAGCAATTTCAACATATTTATCAGCTTTTATGTGACATATTTCTTTTAATGTTTTGCAAAGGAGGACTTTGTAAACAATGAGAGCTCTTATCAACTTACAGAAAATTTCTTTAAAACCAAAAAAACCTATTTGAAGACAAAAATTACAGAAAGCATAAGACTAATTTTTAGAAAAAAAGGCACTTAGATGTTTTTAAAAGTACTTTTGTTCATGAATAATTGTTCTTTTAATTTATGTTGAAACAATTTATTTGCAGTTTTAAACTTCTTTGTGATCTTAGACATCTCTTTGCTTTTATAGTGCTTCTAAAAAACATTCTATAGCACTTCTCTGAAATAAAATAAGTAAATAAAACCTATTTTAAAAAGTAAAGCTGGGTGTGGTGGTGCATGCTTTTAATCCCAGCTACTCTGGAGTCTGAAGCAGGAGGATCCTGAGTTCGCTTCTAGGCTGAGGAAACAGTGAAATCCCATCACAAAACAGAAAAAAACCCAGATATAATTCTAAATGTGTTTCAAATTTGTCCCAACTCTGCTTTGCTTATTTTTTGATTTGATCCCATGGTCTTATTTTTTTTTTTTTTTTGAATGCACAGTTCTTTCATTTGTAGCAAACATGTAGCTCATGGTCTTGATAATAATATCTGTGCCTGTGATCTTCTCTTAACTTCCCACCTTATATGAAATTTGCTCTGCCCTCTTCCTGGACTTAAAAGAATCAGAAACTCAGACTTCTGTTAAAATGACCACAGTGTACTTTATTTAATGATTTTGGTACCTTGTGTTGCAATAAAATAAAAAAAATCTACAAAATCCAAATATATAAAATTTCAAGTTTTTTTCTTTTTTTAAAGTTTTACAAGAAAAATCAGATAACCAAGGAAATTTATTATTTTTTTTATGAAGTACTACTTTCCACTTCGTTTCATCACAAATTGCAACTTACTTAACAGACCAAAATAACTATGGTACTGTAGTACATCACATACTCCAAGCACTGTGCTTTGAACTAGAGCACTTGGGGTCACTGCCTGGGGACAGCGGCCTCCAGCAGATAAAGACACGCTTATGAGCCCAATGCTAAAGGAATGTTCAGATACATGGAATTGGGAATATATATATTTACAGGAAGGAAAACAAATTCATAACTTGTTTAGTTCATCTTTTCAAATAAAATTCCAAATACATTTGTACAATGTTTACAAAGTAAAAAGCACAAGGAACCTCCAAGGTTTTCCTTTGGGTCCAGGCACTGTGCTCGCTCTAGGGGAAGTTTCTTCACCATTCCCTACACACACACACACTGTATTTCTGTAATGAAGACAGAAGCACAGGAATGGCAATTTTGCACAATCAGAATGTCATGCAGACAAGTGGACAAAAGGGAACTGAGAAATCAGTGGTCCATTCTCATCGGCTTGCTGTTCATCTGCCACCTGTTACATTTTTTTTTTCAGAGATAGATTCAAAGTGACGACGACGACGACAACAACAACAACAACAACAACAACAATAACAACGACAAAAACCAAAAATTGAACGGAGAAAGGAGCACAAAATGTTTAAGGCAAATTAAGCAAATACAGAGCAGCCTCTCTTGGTGTTGAGTGGAAATGAAGATTTTACTCTGAATAGAAACAAGTAAAATGAACTACAACCTCCTGAGGTTGGGTTGTTTACGTCATATACAAATTTGTGAAAATTGCTTTGCACCGAGTATCCTTTTGAAATTTTAAATGAAAAGACTTTGTCAATTACAAAGTGCAGGATTTCATGTTTTTAAGTAAAACAACAGTAGCTGAGGTAGTTAGATGTGAAACTTATTTTACTTAAAAGAAACTGGAGGATGAAGAGCAAATGTCCATACCAAACAAATCCTTGACATTGGGAAGCAGGTTTTATATTATGCAATGGTTTAATGGTGAACAAAATGTTTGTTTTTCCATTGGATTAGTAGTTAAACCAGAATAGGAACAGTAGTAGTATTTATTTCCATACCCGCATCCAGAATGGATGGAGTACAGATGAGCTTTTCATACACAGTCATCTCATACTTTCACCATTTCTGCATTCAAGCCATCAAATGAAATGGTGTTAATTGTTATCACTGGAAACTCCATTTCTAACTGTAAAACTAAATTAGTAAAAACTGAGGAAAGATTTAATAGGAAGAATGATTTCATTTTCACTTTAGCAATTTTTGTCTTAAACCCTAAATTCAGTGGTTTGAAGGAGGGAGAAAACTTCTGGCTCATTGGTTGCTCTCTTCCTTCTGAGAATGGAAAAACATATTTGCATATCCTTCCCTTTATCATTCTGGACGCTACTGAACTGTCTGGCTACCGAGAAGAAAAGCAGACATTATTTAGTAGAGGTCAAGTTCTCACCTCAGGATAACTGTGATCCCTTTTCAATTTGTCCCTTTTCCAAATGAAGATTTCAGGTGAGACCTACAATTGACCAAAAGATTCACCATTTATCCTAGATCATATAAATATGAAAGGAGTTCTGTGATAATATTGGGCCCCGTGACATGGTTAGCTATAAATAAGAAGGGAGACATTTCTTTTGAGTGTAAGAGAATTTGCAGGTGTTTTTATTATTTTTTAATAATCCGTTTATAGAAAAGAATGTTAACCAGAAGTAGTCAGAAAAGTTGACAGCTAGCTTTACAAAACATCACAGGTGTGATGTTTATAGAATGGCTAGTTGACGATAGCAGTATAATTACATAAATCTTTGCTAAAAACTAGTTTTTCTAAGAGTCTCAAATTTTCAGGGAGAGCACTGGAAAGTTCCTTGTGGTCCTTAAAAAGATTCAAGTTTTCTCCCTCAGTAATTAGATGTATCACTTATACCTAAATAATATGTTGTCAGCACTTGTTTTTATGTTTGATGAATAATCTAGACTCTATCATTTCAAAGACCTGTCCAGCTCTAAACATATTTAGATCCTACTTTGTACCTTTATGATAAAGTCTACTTGGGACAAATTGTTCCCACTGCCTTCCTCTCTTCTAACCCACCTGCAAAATTGCCTTTTCTCTCCTCCAGCCCCCTGAATCTAGTCCAAATAGTCAACTTTAGTTTTCTTGTACAAAACCAAATAAAAACAAACAGACATTTCCTTTCTATCAAAAAAGGATATTCTGATGCATTTTGAGTTGGAAAAATATTGACACTAGGAACTGGGGGTGGGGAGCCAGCAATGTTCAAATTATATTTTTGAATCACAATACTCATATTACTGGTCTTTCAAAACAATACTTATCTAAAGTTTGGTGTGGCAGTACAAATGTTTCAAAATGAATTAGAAAATTGCCTAGGTTCAATTTATGCTTCAGAAATCTTAATCCCATGCATTAGAAATGTCTAATCAATTTGAAATTTTAGGACTTTGATGTACCATTGGCAGCTATATTTTAGAATCAGAAAAGATTATATTGAATGTGAGTGTTACATCAGCTCCAAGCACAACGTGATTTAAAACTCTCTATTCAGGGTAAACTTTCTAAAGCCTGATTCCATATTTTTCACAACATGCAAACATTTTTGAAAGGAATCTAATAATTTAAAAAGGCTACAATGTTGATATTTATCCAGAACTTTGCTTCATGAAGTGATATCATGAAAACATTATCTGCATTGTTAGATACTGTTTTATGGGTGAGTTCCTACTTCATAATTTTGCCTCCATAACTCAAAAAATGAAAATATTTATAATTCCAAATCATGTTTTTTTTAAGCATTAGTTCTAATCAGGTTAATCATTTAAGAGAAAACACATTTCTTTGGGGGAGTTGTACAGGATATTCTCTGAGGTTGTTTTTCGACCATCTCCTTTGTCCTTTATAAGAATTCACATCTGTACATGAGTAAGCACATGGATATTCCTGTATTGCTAAATCCCTGTATTACACTTCTCTGTAATATTTAAAATATGTATATTGATGTGAAAATGAATCAATTCAGAAGTTCCAAACAGAAAACAAAGCTATTCGTTTCTCCATGGGTTATAAAGGGAGAGATGTGTCATCTTAGAAGTAAGAAAGATACACAATGTTAATGACCCAGAATCTAATCTCAAGCACATCATTAAAGAATCCTCTTCCCTAGGAGTGGATTTCAGACCACTCAGCATCATTAGGAGTCAACTGGGTCTCACACCCGTGTTCTGAAAAATGCAGTTTGGGATCATGCACACTCAATCCTTAGGCATCAAAAGGAGCCACATTTTCAAAATGCATTAAATAAACGTTTAGTAAAATCCAGTTTGGCTTACAGGAAAATGGTCCATATATACCAAGAGTCTCAATGTCTGTATGAGAGAAGTTACTTTTCACAATAAAATGCTGATAATTGTTTAAAAATTTGACAGGGAACTTCAAAGGAAACTTTTACTTATATCAAGTGATGATGAATGATTGTATTCTTGGCTTGGTTAGTTATTGCTGCTGTGATCCTCAGAGGACTCCATCACCGGCTCCTCAGCCCAGCCTTCCTGCTGCACACAGCTCTCCTTTATGTGTCTGTTCTTTAGCAAGAAAGACAGTGCTTTCTAACCCCAAAGCGCTTCACCAACCCTCTTCGTTAGTCTTCACAACACCCCTATGAGGTAGGTAAATAAATATTCTCTTTCTTTCAGATATGGGAAAAATGAGGCTGAGTTAATTTCTGAGGCTGAACACATGGACCAGCTACTAGGATGCACACATGAGTGGATTTCTAATTCTTTTTTTCCCCCACACTGGACCATAACCCCTCAGGTTGCTACGTCCAGAATGGAACTTATCTCATAGCATAAAAGGGTATTATTTCATGAACTATATCGAATATTTTTAAGAGTCATTATATTTAACACAGGGGTTTTGGTTTTCTACTAAACCATAAATTTCATACCAATTATCACATAATCAAAGATGACTTACTAAAACATTATTTTTGTGATTGCTAATTGTCACCTTTTTGTTGTGAAATCAGCTAAACATCCTATCAATCACATGAATGTGAGAAGACTAGGGAAAGGATATAGTGAAGTAAAAATTATACCAGAAAAGAAAAGGAAAACCAGATTGGGTTGGTGCACACGTCCACTGGTTCTGAAGGACAACCATGACCTCACCTCCAAAGTGGGGGAACAAAACAATTAGCAGAGGGCAATGACACCACATAGCTGGGGGCCCTTGCTACTCAGTAGAATATCCATTTGATGTCAGGGAAACTTCTGCATCTGAGGGACAGAGGGACCAGCAAGGAGCTTCAATGAATACTGCACGACGTTCTTCTTTTTCTTCTTCTTCTTTTTTTTTTTTTTGATACTGGGGATTGAGCCCAGGGGACCACCAAGCTACATTCCTAGCCCTTTTAGTTTTTAATTTGAGACAAGGTCTTGCCAAGTTGTCCAGACTGGCCTCAGACTTGTGATCCTCCAGCCTCGCTGTCTCCTGATTCACTGGGATTATTGGTATGTGCCCAAATGCCCAACTACCCCATGCATTTCTTCCTAATTGACACTGAATATAGAATTTGACACAATGGAAACATTATGTAAGAACCTTCAGACCATTTAGATTGTCATTGAAAATCTCTGTAAGATCTCTATATACCTTTCAGGGCTCTGTGTGCCTGCACACAGTCAGTGCATCCTAGCAAGTTTTGCAACTAAGCATTCTTAAAAGGAAACTGGTCTCAGGCAGGTATATGATGGCATACACCTATAATTCTAGTGACTCAGGAAACTGAGGCCGGAAGATCACAAGTTCAAGGTCAGTTTGGGCAATTTAATGAGATCTTGTCCCCCTCCCCCCAAAAAAGGACTGGGGATATAGCTCAGTGATAGAGCACCCCTGGGTCCAATCCCAAGGACCTGAAAGAAGGAATGAATAGCTTGTCTGTTTTTCTGCCAAGCTTCAGATTGGACATGTTCACCAACCCAGAGCCAAATCAGAAGAAACAATCAACTTTCTAACATTACAAAGAAGAAATATGAAGAAAACATCATTAATACAAGAGTTGGTATGAACATTTCAAACTTTTTTTCCTAGAAGGTAAATTTCCTTTCAAAGTCAAGATTTTCTGTTTTCTGGGGAATCCTAACAATGACCACAAGGAAAACACGAATATTCCTGATTTTCATGATAACAAATTAATATTAGGAAATTGGAATGATATCAACAAACCAAACCCCAAAAGTTAGGTATTTTTTTCGATTTAGGAAAAACAGCTTTTTATCTGGTGACACCATAGAATTCACCATGAAATAATTGCATCAAGCAGTGTTTGGGGGGCTTATGCTATAATATGGAATGCTTAAGGTTAAAACTCCTATTTGAAGAATAAAAACTAATCAGATTTATTTTTCCCTTGAACCATTCTGTCAAGTGGACTGTGAATGATGAAGATTTTACCAACAGCAGAAATGCAATAATAAAATTACAGAAGGTAGTAAAGGCTGAACAGTTCCTTTCCTTGCCTGGAAAGAGTTTCTAGAACTGCTGCTCCTATGGAGCTCCGTGCTACAGTCATGTGTGCAGTGCCCAGGACAGAGCCTGCCAAACCTCTTCCCTTCATGCACTTGCTGAAAGTAAATAAAAATCACATAAGATTGGCTCTGCTTTATTTATTTCTCTTTGCACGACAAAGAGACTTTTAGTAGCAGAATATCACCAGCAATCGATTACTGCACAAGAAAGTCCAGTACCTATAATACCTGAGCAGTCTGTCTTTCTAGACAACACCAGACAACCAGACAGAAAACTGTATGCTTCCAACATCTGGACACTTCTGTATAGTATCCAGATGCTTGCTATCATGAAGGCCAAATTTACCACTTGAGTGACCTGCTTCTCCGCTTTTCATTGGGATGTTTGCATTCATGTGGACAGTCTTTATTTTTTAATAACTCTGTAGTGTCTACTTTGGTTTAGTAAAGATGGTTCAGCAATCACTTGGAAAATTCAAACATCAAAAGCCCTCAAATGAAAAGAAAGTTAGTCATGAGGAAAAATCAGAGCTTTAGGGCTATCAATGGCCCAGTGGTTTTGTCTATGTTGAAAAATTGCTTAACTGTCCATCTATTTATTTATTTATTTTTGCTTCCATTATTTTGAAAATCATCCTCCTAAGAATTATTTTTTCCAATTTGAGAATAAATACACAGACTAGGTGATTGGTAGAATCAAGATCCAAACTACATTTAAAAGAGTCTAATACTGGTAAACCTGGTCGAGTGGGTTCGGATATGGAGGCTGTTGTGATGTCATGGTATATTTACAATGGGACGTTGACTAAGGCCATGGTAACCCTGAATCTCATTGCTGTTAAAAGGATGGATAGGTTTATGGTTTGCATTGGACAAGCAAGAATTAATTACAATACCTTAAAATGTCTTTTCTTATAATCCACCAGCCACTCTTGGTGTGCAGAGCAGTATGGGAACCAGTGATCAAGGAGAATCATCATGAGGGAGACTCAATCTTACATATGAAGCTACCAACATATCCTCCATCTCCCCACATTAATCAGACCCTGACTTTTCCAAGGGGAGAAGTCTGTTGTCATAGTTATAGAATGGCAGTAACTACTCTGAATTTCTGCTCTAAAAAGGCAAGTATTTTTTGACGGACCACTGACAGGTTTTCTTTTCAATCACTGTACTTGGGCCTCTTCATTAATAGAAACGCTCTGTCCTGACACTCAGCTCTGCTGAAGTCACTGTTTCCCATGAACCTGCAGAAAAGAACTGTTTGTTGCTCCTAGATCACCACAGTTCACCAACTTATTATACATTAAAGGATATTTTTGTGTCTAAGTTGGCTGTGGGATTCAGGAGATGAACGTTTTCTTTAACTTGCTAGTTGTCATAGCCTTGCAATCAGAAATCAGTCACATTAGGCCACTTTCCTACCATTCCTTTTTTTTTTTGCCTATGATAAAGAATTAGTTCTGAAAATTCACTTGCCATGATGTTAGTGTCCGTAACTGGGAAAATCAGTAGCTCTGGGAATATCTTGGACATAACCACCAAGATGGTTATGTCCTCTCTTAGGAAAGAGCAGTATCTTTCAGACAGAAGAAAAATGATCCCTGCTTCTTCCTCTTCACATTTTTACTTCTAGACTACTTATTGGATGCATCTGATGACTTCTGTTCATTTGTCTGGAGTTAACTCCTAAAACTGATACCAATTCTTTAGACTAAAAACTATAGGAACACATGGATGCCTGACTCTCTTACATACTCTGAAAGTATGATCTGATAATTTCTGGTAACTTCATTTTGACCTTTCTTTGAGAAAAGAGAAGTGGAAAAGAACCATGATTTTTAATTATGAGATCACCTTTTTTTACTTCTAAGTGAAAATGTAGGCATTGGGAATATCAGTGGGCGATCTTTTTTAAGCTAATAAGCAAGCTTTTGCAGGATCCAAGAAGCAACCGGGCAGTCAAGTCCACATAGAAATGGATTTCCGTTTGGAACTGGAAATGTCATCACCCAGGAAGGCAAGCATCAAATTATTCAATAGTTACAACCATGCAGATTTGACCTCTAAACTGAATTATAAACTCAGGCTTTACAAATCAGTTATTACAATGCTGACAATGATAGTCTCAATAAATGAAATAAAAGCAGCAACTCTACTCAGACAGATTAATTATTAAACAGATGACAGTGACTTTTTTTTTTTCCATTTCCAAACACATGGATTTGAATCCATTGGAAGCAAGTCTTCGGTGACCCATACCCATTCTCTGAGCTACACAAGCCCCCAGGAATCCGTGAACTTGTTTTTCAAAGTAGTGCTTACTGGCAAAAACAAAGGAGGTGGCTGAATATTCATAGCATCAGTGTTGAGGAACCACGTAGCATGATTTCATAGCTCTGCAGCACAGAGGTCTTTCTCTTCGGGCCTGGGCACTGTCATGGCACGGGACGCAGAACCAAGGGCTCCTTTTTCACTAACTGATTACTGTTCCCTTGCAATAGCTTGATTACAATATTACAAGTCAAGAATTTGCAAGATTAAAGTGTCTGTTGAATTAATTAACTGCAAATCACCGCCAGTAAAACTTGACAAGTTCCAAGATGTTTCTGTAAGAAAAAGAAGGGAATCGATAGCATCAGCAACATGCAGCTTTGGGACAGTGGAGACTATTTCTGAGCACCAAGGGCTCACTTCCACCCTTCCCCTTTCTTAAAGGAGCAGAGTTTTATATCCTTTCACAGAATGCCATGCCTTTGATTCAGAATAAGGAAAATGTTTCACCTCAGGCTTTTAAAACATACTTTGGAGATCCACTTCCTTTTTATGTACAATGCATTAGAAAGGCTAATAAGGAAAGCCGAATATTTTAGCTCTTTGAAAGCAGGATATAAAATGACAGTTCTTTTACTAGCTGACAGGTCTCCTTTGGTTACAGGCTCATGCTCTATTTCTCCCAATTTGAATAGAATAAGAAATCACAGGGGGCTCCATAGAGAACCACAGGTCAAAGTTTAATTGCTCTGCGAACATAGCAGTGCCCAACACATTCAAATACAAGTGCTCATTTTCCAGAATCACAATGGATTGAAATGCTGGTGTGTATTAAGATGTGTTCTGCTGGTTTGTAATCTAAACAAGAATTTCTTACAATGATATAAAACTGAAATTTATTTTCAACCCACTCAGAGGTGTTTTCGAACTTACTGATAAATGAATTAATTTGAAATATTTAAGTGTTGATTGGATACAACTCCATGCCAGAATGCCACTACAACAGTTAAATTAGATTAGTTTAAACACAACATCTCCATTTGTTCCTATTTTCAGCACTTGAAGTAAGAATTTGATTAATTCCATTTTAATGCAAATTAAGCACAAGAGAAAGGAGAGGGCCAACCTGCTTAATTTGGTAGACTGAAGTATAATAAAAACACAAAACCTTACATTTTCTGAAATTCTAATAACAAAGTAGGTGACAGGCTTCAATAATAGCACAAGAGGAAATTTTGTGTTGGCACTGTGCTGGTAATATTTGCTTATTATTTTGATTAATTAATTTGATGCTGATTTGATATTAGATATGATCTTTGCTCTGCAAACATCTTAATCAGTTACTACGGGCTTCCTCTCATGCTGTGAGTGGTGAAAACAGTGATAACCGTGGTAATGAATGTGATAATGGTGGCTGGAACCTAGAAATCGGGGTCCTGATGTATTAACATTTCTACATGAACTCTTTTTTTTTTTTTTTTTTGTCAATGCTAAATGAGCTTCACCAAAAATTTTCTCAAGGATTCTGGACTTGTAAAAGTTAATATTCTCTCTTCTCTCTTTCTGTGTACTTCATAGAGACCAACAGTCTTAAAAATCACCTAACCAGAATTATTTCATTTAAAGAAAATTAGTTATTCAATTTAATAATGATCTTTAATAATACACTCCTTCTATTTCTGAGAGTCACCTGGTACGGTAGCATTGCAGGAGTGATGTGGATTGGACACAATGCTACTGTGATGTCCCCAAGGCGTGGGGCTGGCTGCCCTGTCTTCTGACATATAAGTGGGCAGAGTGCTGTGAGCACAGAAGGTTATCACTTTAGCATGATCTCCCAAGTAATAACAGCTGAGATTCATCTCCAAAATTGTTATTCCTAAATAACTAGTATGCTGGAGAAATACTGTATGTGCTAATGAATTCTGCTTTCTTGAAAATCAAAGAAGCAACCTATTGGAAAACTTCCAATACTAAAGAGGCTGCCTAATTTTATGACTTTTCTTGAAAGGAATTCTCAGGCCTATCTCCAAAGTTTATTCAGAGCTGATGGTTTTAAGACAAATACTCCGTGCCAAGAGAGTATTTCCATTTTGTTGGTGTTGTCGCTTTGTGACTTTGATTAAAAAACATTTACTGTTGGAGAGCCATAAAAACAAGTTATTAAATGGCTTTTCTGTTTATTGGCAGCCATCTAATGTTAATTTATCTTTGCACTTAAATTCTTACCTTCTGTTTGTCATTGTGTGTGGGAATGATTCATTGTGAGGTTTACAGGATAGCCTTGGAAAAGCTTATATTTCCTCACTGTTTTAATATAGAATTAAACATAGATATTGGAAAGAGAAGTAGCAGCATGCTGGAGAAAAAGAGTTAAAGTTGAAGTCATAAAGCTGCTTCAGCTGCTCCTAACTGTATTATAAGTAACTAAATGCAGAATTCCTTCTGTGGATTGCCTGGCAGTCTTACTAATAGAAGTCATGCTTGTTGGATGAATGACAGAGTGAATCAATAAGTGTGTAGAGTATGTAATAATGATTACAAAAATTACCTGATCTCGTTGGGTCTTGGTTGCCTCTCCTATAAAATAAGAGTCATGAAGTAACGTTTAGATTTCTTTTAGAGGCTATCTCCTTTAAACATTAGTGACTTCTAATTTGACATAAGCTCCTAAAGATTTGATTGAATCAATCTACTCATATTTTAATGCATTACATTCAGACTGTTGAGAAAGTTTTGGGTTTATTATTGGCTACTTCGAAAGAATCAATTCAAACAGCACACACACACACACGTGTGTGCAATGACATCATTGCTGTCAACTGGAACATCTTGCTGAACTTCAGGGATGCTACATTTAGTGAGAAGGGAGAGAACACATCAGTTATAATTCAATAACTATAGGATAAGTATTTGCTATATTCTTTCATTTAACCCTTTAATCTAAGATAATGTTCCTAGAATTATATGATGGTTTCAGCTAGTGGTTTTATAATCATCATAAATATAAAATTTTGTGACCTTCAAGATAGCAAATGAAATTTAGGGAAAAGGATTGCAGGAACAGAATTACCTTATAATATAAAAATGATGCCACTTCAGAGACTTTTTTTTAGCTCTATGTCCTTCTATCCTTCTTTTCTCTTTTCTCTTTTCTTTCCTCCCCCTTTCCCTCTCTTTCTCTCTCTTTAGCATGTCAAAGTAAATAGTGGGGTTTAGTTATTTTTCATTCTGCCTAACTGGATAACAGAATCATACAAGAGAAGAAGTACTAAGTTAAATTGTATTTATCACTTAACTTAATGCAGAGTAGCACTATGATGAGGGCACCATTGTCTGGGGGTAGAAGAACAGCATTGATTTGCCTACTACGAATTAAAGAAAGATTCAGTTATAAATGATAAGACTCCCATTTTCTCATCATTAGCTTTTTTTTAACTTTTCATTTTGAAAGATATCTTTGACTTTAAAATAAAAATTTCTAGGAAAGATTTGATCATCAGAACACGATTCTCTTCACTTGGAAGATTTGGCATACCAGGAGTAGATTTTGGAAGACTCGTTGGTCTTTTAGAAGGACTCTCAGTTGTTAAACATTAGGCACCATTCTGAGCTCTACTGTTGCCTAGCTCTAGAGCCTTTGGTAAGTTGTTTACATCTCTGAACTGAAGTTTCATCATCTGGAAATGTTTAACCCCAGATGGCTGTGATAAGAATCTTTAGCACAGCGCTGGGCACATAATAAACTTTCAATCATAGTAATGGGAAATGATTATATTACTCGTGTGTGTGTGTGTGTGTGTGTGAGTGTGTGTGTGTGTGTGTGTGTGTGTGTGTGTGAGAGAGAGAGAGAGAGAGAGAGAGAGAGAGAGAGAGAGAGAGAGAGAGAGAGAGAGAAACACCTGATAAGAGTAACTTAGAGGAGAAAAAGTTTATTTTGGCTCACAATGTTAGATAATTCAGTCCCTGACAGATAGCTCCATTCCTTTGGGCCTAAGGTGATGTAGAACATCATGGAAGGAAGGCCTGGTGGAGGAAAACAGCTCAGATCACGGAAGCTGTGAGTCAGGGGCCGGGATAGATATAGTCTCCAAGGCCATGCCCCCAGTGACCTATTTCCCCCAGCCATGACCCACGTGCCTACCATTACCACCCAGTAGTTCATTCAAATTGTTAATCCATCAAATGGATGAATTCTTTAAAGACATCAGAGCTCCTATAATCCATTTTTTTTTCACCTCTAAACATTATTGCATTGCCTAACATGTGAGTTTTGGGGGGAGATTCCAAATTTTAACTACAACAACCATCAGTATGGAAATTGGAACTGCCAGAAAATCTACCATGAAACAAAATAATAAGAGCACAAATTCAATTGAGTTATTTTGTCTCTGGCTTAGTTTATGTCAGTATAACATGGAAACATTTTAACATGCCAGGGATATTATGGCATCCTTTATTTAGTGGAACCTAGGCCACCAGGTTTGCTGAGTTTTGCATTTCTGGGCTAGATCACTGCATACAAATCAAAAAGGACTGGTAGTTTTTTCCATGTGGAATCTAGAGAAAGAGCTTCAGATGGATGGTGAGACCATACCACACCTCAGCCACTCTGGGGAGAGTTTCTGAACCCCTTGTGTCTGTGGACACATGTCTATTTGTCACTACTTCCTCTTGGCTTTCTGTTGTGGGGGCAGGATGCTTGCCAGCTAGGCTAATTGCTACAATTAGCAAAATTAAATGCCTTTTCATGTTTTTATACAATTCCACCCACAGTCCACAGTTTTACTTTGGCATGAGTAATGGTCCTGTTGAGACTGTCAATCTTGGACACACATGGAGAGTCTTTCCATGTGCCCATTTTTCAGGACAGCAGTTGGACAAAACATATGTCAACAGAGACCTTTGCAGTGACCTAATTCTGCCGTACAGGTGCCCAAGTGAGAAGAAGAGATGTCATCCAAATGTTCAGATCATTTCACAGCCTGGTCTAAGGGAGGTTGACTCCGAAATTGGAACTAGAGTAAAATGACCCATCCTTGGCCATTTGGAAATGATCAAGCACCAGGCAGAAGGAATGTTATGAGTCACAAGTTGGCAGGATTTTGATTATTTTCAAAAGTGACATTGGATTGCTAAGATAAAGGAATGTGAATTGATTTGCATCCATCACTGAAGTTATATGAGTGACGACCTCAGTCTTGCTGTGCTGTCACCCTGTGTTTCACTATCCTCTGAGCTATATTCTGAAAGACAGCCTGAGCTATTTTTACAAAGGCTTTAAGAAATTTTCCCTTAGAAACATAAAAATGCAGGCATCTCATCCAAGCTTTATATAGAAACTATAATGGCTAATGGCAAAGATGTGTTGAGAATGCAAGGGAGCATATATTTAGTCTAGAAAATGGTTCATTAGGGAAAAAAGTCTCTATGTTCTTGTCTAAACATTATGTCAGAACGTGTCTCCACTCAATGACATTTGGTACGTTTGAAAGTAAATGCGTAACCTTACACAATCCTGGTAAGGACATCAGAGGTTTCCTCTGCTCAATTCAATATTTTCAGGGAAAGAAACTTTGAAAACAAAAAACTATTCTATTCAGCTGCTTCAAAGATGGGATCTTTAAGGAGTGAGAAAGTTCATTTAGGCTAAGAAGTGCTGAATTGTGAGTAGGTATTTCCAACCAAAGTTCACAAGTACATTACTGTCTTACAGGTATGCTTGATTTGGAAAAGGCAGCAAGAAAAAGCTTCTTATCTAAAAGTTCATGTGTCAGTAGCATACCATTTTATATGCACTAAAGGGCAGTATATCCTTTATTTCTTAAAATAAAAAATTCAATAAAATAAAATAAAAAGTCAATGAGATTTAAATTATTCTCATTCACTTTTAATTGGTCAGCACTCTGGCTTCATTTATTTCTAGAGCAAAATAGATAGGGCATGTAGGAATTAACCATAAATTCTTCATATTACTTTTATTTTCAGATTATCTTTGTATTTTATTTTTGCTAACACTTGAATCACATGATCTTGACTCAATTAGAGAATTTATTTCATTTGTAGTATTCCTCATAAATGAATAGGAACTGAGTGTCTATAAAGTTATATTGTGAAACTAGATAACACACAGTTAAGTAGAAAAATGTGGAAGTGTGAAGAGGATTTAAAGGACATAGTCACTTTGGAGAATCACATTTGACTTACATGGAAAAAAATTTATTTTTCTTTCATGCAAATACTTAAAAGTCTTGGCATGGCTAGGATATATAGAGTTTCATTTAAAAATGTTAATTTGAAAGTAAAAGACAAAGTTATAGTATTTTTCCTTTAGAAAATGTCATGATCCTATGCAAAACAGGTGAATAATAAGAGAAACATCCTCTCAACGGATTTGAAGTGGACTTAGGTCCAGAAATCAGACTAGACGATAAAGAATCCCATTATTTTCATCTGTATGCTAACCATAGCTCATCCCTCTTGGATTATTCTTCAGTTACTCTCCAGCAAGGGTTTAATATCAGACTGAAAAATAATTAAAATTTAAACACAAAAATTAAATTTTGTTCCCTTGCACCTTGATGACATCTCTTTAAATCCCAATACTTTAAAAACTCCGTTATCTATGCCTCTAGAAACTAATAAAAGTTGTCTTATGGCAGTGGTGTGCTTTCTGAATCACAGAAGCAAGATTAAATCATGATTTACCTCTGGAGTAGTTTTTTTTTTTTTTTTGTTGCTGTTCTTGTAATCTTCTGAAAAGTTGTAATTTATAACATGAAGGATGTATCATTTCCTTAGCAAGAATTCATTGTTAACTAAAACATCACAGTCTTCAAGAATGTCCAATAACAACGTTTACAGTATTGGGGAAATCATTTAAAAATTCAAACTTCTCACACCCTCCTGACTGCCAATCTCACCTCCAAGATAAAGGACAGTACATTATCTCTTATTTACATAGTCCTTGTTTCAAATCTTAACATGGTAAGTGAGGGATCAAGTTGAGAAATAACTTAGAACTTACATGATAAGAAGAGTGAAGGGGCTGTCGTGTTTGTTTGCTTGACACTATTATACTGTCATCTGTTATAACTCGTGGAATCAAGGTATAGTTCAACTGAGGAATTCCGTTTCCACAGATCATCAGTTAAAAGTTGTCTTGGAACTAATGAAGCTAATAACTCATGATTCTGCACAAAGGTGAAGGATTTGCCAAAAATGATCTTTTTTCCCCCCTTCTACAATGGGGGTGGAATATTTTCACCATGTGCTGACAAGAAGAGGGTCCTCCTGGAGCTTTACCAGTGACGAGGTGATCTTTCCACATCCCGAAAAAATGATTAGCTTTGATTGTGTTTAGTGGAAATCTTGCTTGGAGGATCAAGCCATGGAGTACTAGGAAATATGTCTACTGGTAAAAATTGTCTTATCTTTAAAAAAATTGATTTGGGGCTTTGTACCAAAAGAAGTCCTAGGTTGAGCCCTCTGTCACTTCCTGTGGATGTCCTCATGGGGACAGCAGTTTGTGGGTGACATACTTATTACAGGCAGTGGCTCTAGAACTTGACCACTTTAAGAGACTAGGACAGTCCAAATAAGTAAATAATTACATTAATCTGACTTTTTACCTTCTTTTTTAATGACTTGAATAAGCTTTAATCTATCAGTTGGGTTAATATAAAACCAGGGAAAGAAGTTTAAGACATCTTCCACTGTGGTCAGGTTTATTCTAATGAATGGATGAAAATAATCATTTACATCTTTGATTTCCTGGGAAACATTGGCCAGTCTTGACAAGCCCTTTCTAGTTAGGCTGTTTCTCTCTTCACCTGATATTCTTATAGCACCCCTGGCCAGGTTCCTGGGGGCACCAACTTGCAGATCTTGCAAGAGACAAGTGTTTTCAATCTGCCGAGGCAGGCTGATGAATTTGTGGACCAGTTTCTGACATCCCAAGTGATTATGATGCTTAAAGTATTTTAAATAATTCCAGATCTATAAAAAAAGTGATGATGCCTATATGTATACCCTATATGTTTTTATTACAAAAATATTGAAATAATCCATGAGTTATTCCACTCTGCACCAACTATAAAAAAATACTATCAAAGTTTGACCGGCACTTTTAATGCAACGAAAAGCACCATGACCAAGGACACTGAGAACAGAAAGCAGGGAACGTTTACTTGCTGTACGGAGGTATTTAAAACCCAGAAGCTTGTTGTAAGAGTGCGACTTTACAGATGATTCAAATACAAATCTTAGCTGGATAGAGTGATAAGCCCTCAATCAGTTCAGAAGGGTTTCCTTATAGCATATTCACCGCATTGGTATGCTCATACTTACTAAAATTGTCCCAAAGCCTCTAAAAGAGATATCACTTTGAGCTTGGATGGGAGGTGGGTAAGTCTGTACACAGTGGAGAACTTGTTCATTCTCTTGTCTGCTTTCAGGGGGCTCACATCACTTATTCTCAGTCACTGGGGCTTCCGTGTCAAGTCCTGTGGTTGGATGGAGTTTGGCACTAGAAAGATGAGGCATAGTGTCTTCTGGAATCACACCTGCCCACATGCATACAGCGAGCCACTCATTCTGTATCCGGAAACAGATGCACTTGCAGCCCACTCCTCTCTGGAGGCCCTGCGCTTACATTCCAATGTGAGCTGCACATGCCCGGGAATCAGACTCTTTATTCTGTCTCTTTTCCCCCCACTTCCTATTGGTGTATGTTTTAAACTTTTGCAATTGAATACTGAAAGATGATTATCATTTAATTTACATCACGAAGTTATCGAGCTCCTTGGTCTTGTCGAAAGCCATACATGTGCTGCATAGGATTCCTGTCATAAAGATGTTCTCAACTGAAAATTTAAAATTAAAAAAACAAATCCTGAAATGTGTATAAAATGAACCATTCCATCAACGCTAATACATGTGTAAACACACTTGAGTTTGCTGTCTATTGAGTAGGCTTTTTTTTTTCCACACATGATATTGGTTTTCAAATGAGAAAATGATTTATGAATTCTTTTCTAAGCAGTACTACTTTTTTTTCTGAAGTCTTGAGGGATATATTCTCTCTCTTTGTTTTTATATTTCTTCAGGAATCAGAGCTTTGCATCGAGAAAATCACCTAAGCTATTTTGACAGAGGACTGGTGTGTGTGTGTGTGTGTGTGTGTGTGTGTTAGTGTGTGTGACTGAATATATTTTTATGCAAAAATCAGTTAACTCCATTAAAACACCCTATTGATTGGAGGCAAACTCTTCCATAATAATAGTCCCCTCTGGTGGATGGTGCTCCAAGACAGTGCAGGAGGAATTTGGTAGCCACAGTCATACTGAGCTGGTGTTGCTCTCCTTCAGGTGGATTAAGAGACTCTGGTGCTGCTGGTTGGAAAGAAGACCAACAGCAGGCAGTTAGCTGATGGAGGATCAAACCATAACAGGAGGACGGGGCAGACTAAGAACATTGCAGCTTGTTGCCCCTACTGTAAGATGAAGTGTCACGATTGCCACAGCCCTGCTGTCACCCCTTCATCTGGATGTTGTGGCTCCTGCAAGTTCTTTCGTTTTATAAAGTGGTCTCGTATTCCAACCGCTCCTGAATAAGGGCATCATCTTTATACTGCAGCCTAGGAGGAGACGGGGAACATTCAAAGGCTAAAATGGCCTTCCGTAGGCTTCGGTCCAACACGTGTCTCTCCCAGGCTGGGTACCTATTTCTGAACAGGTCAATTTTTATGACGGATTCTTCAATCCGTGGTGGGCGAGACGATGGGGTGGACGGGGCCGTCGGTCTCACCTGAAAGACAGGTACACAGCCATCCCGCTCTGCGAATTTCTGATCGCGGTCACTGGCCACGCTGCGGTTGTTGGAGATGGACCGGAGGGTGCTCGTGGCCACTTCTGGAGGCAGAGAGAAGGCGGCCACGGGGTCCTCACAAGCACAACTTGGTGACTGCCCGAACCGGGGCCCGTTGGGGTGAAAGAAGGCATAGTACATCAGCATGAAAACAACGCCCGTTAAGAAGCTGCTGAACACCACGCACAGCGCCGGGATGGCGAAGGCGTCTGCGATCTGCGGAGCCTTGTACAGGTACCAGAGGGCGCTCAAGGCTGTGTTTTCCAAAAGGATCACAAAATAGTAAATGAACAGCCGGCAGCGTGTCCTGCCTTCCTTGACGTTGAACCAGCTGAAGATATAGATGATCCCCACCACCATGTCAAACACAATCTCCTCCCATTTGGTGATACAGAATTCTGTCTCACAGTGGACGATCCAGAAGGTCATGATGCACCAGTGAAGGACGATGAAGATCCCAAAGTACAGCTGGAACACCGAGGCGAAGAGCGCGAAGGTGATGACCCTGGCCGCGATCGTGAAGAAGTGCCAGCAGAACTGGATGATGACCGCCATGTAGCTGATGGGCTTCTTGTCATCTCGAGAGTCCCGCAGGGCCTTCTGGTAGGAGGCTAGAGCCCAAGCCAAGGACACCAGGGAGGCTGCTGCTGTGAAACCTACAAAGGCAAACAGGAAGACATTCTGTCAAAAGTGAGATGCAGGGATGCCCTGGAAGTCAAGTCACACCGGGCTGGTGGCTCGCGACAGGCTTCGACCTCAGCAAAGGCTCTTATTTTCTTTGGGTTTTTAGTGGACTTCTCACTCAGGTGGGGATCCTTAACTATCCTCTCTAAGTCATCAACCATATGGAGAAGGCTCGACACTAACAGGAATGCTACTCCAAACCAGTGTCAGGTCTGAGATGTAGAGAATGGGTGGTTTAACTTTCTGTGTATTTGGTGTAAATAGACTTGGGCTGGAGGCTAATGGAATGGGGTTGCTGTTCAACTTGACCAGGTATTACCACTTGACCCTGGACAATCTTTGAAATGAGTATCCTCATTTTTTTCTGGGTGTGTGGGGGGGAGGCATTACAGGGGATTGAACTCAGGGGCATGTATCCACTGAGCCACATCCCCAGCCCTATTTTGTATTTTATCTAGAGACAGAGTCTCACTGAGTTGCTTAGCACCACCCCTTTTTATAAGTTCTGCTGAGGCTGGCTTTGAACTCACAATCCTCCTGCCTCAGCCTTCGGAGCTGCTGGAATTACAGACACTGCGCCCAGCAGGATCCTCATTTATAAGGCAGGCAATCTCCGGGGCTCCCTACCACTATGGAGATTCCATGGTTGAAAGGTATATAGCATCACAGGAAGCTTGAGGGGCTACATGGTTTACCTTTCTGCTTCCAAGCAAGAATGAATGAATTTCATTCCCAAAAGAGAGTTTATTCTTTCTTTAGAATAAGGAAAGAAGTTCACATAATGAGCTTGACAGTGTTTCTTGTGCTGCCCAGTGTGCAGCTCATCCTCATGGCTGAGGATACTCAGGGTTCCTGCAGCTTCTATCTGTGCCAACTACCTTTCCCTTAAAAGAAGTATTCATTCACTGTCTTTCATCTCTTAGTCTTTCATAAATTAACGATTGTATTGAAATTATTTTTCAGCCATTCCTCTTATTTTATCAGGCCCATTTGGTTAGTAGATCTTCAAACTTTGGAATTAATTTTTATTGCCTTCTTATACTCTTATTCCATTTAACTGGGTCTCAAATTTCTGTCTATGATCCAGATATGGACAGATCTTACCTAAAAACACACCAGCTTCCCAGGAGATCTCTTTTGGAGAATTCCACTTTGTCACTGGAGTTTGCAATTATTTTACTTAAGAAGATGTGCTGAGACTTGCCAAGGTTAAGAACGGTTTCAGGTATTATAAAATTAAACTGACTTTCCCCTCATCAGATCTATTATTAATCATAATCAGGCTGAATACTAGTTTTATTTCCCTCTTTAGAAATAATAGAAGGTGTGTGGATTTCCAGGAGCTTATGATGGAATCTGTACTTTTCTTTTTTAAAACAATGTTTATAGAAAAAGAGCTGTTGTCTACTATCCTTGAAAAATAAATTTAAAAAATACGATTCTTGTGGAAAGAGGCCATATTAATGGATAAAAATTTCAAATCCAATAATCACATCTTACCCAGTCTCCTTGATTAACACAAACTGCAAAAAAACAATTATTGATGAAGAAAATGTTTTCCAAAATCCACTTCTCATACTTCCTCACAATAAATCTACTAGAATGTTTAGACTGTGATGTCAGGATCTTCAGGGTTTTTATTTTTTATTTTTTCAGGGCAGCACAAAAATCTTTTATTCCTGCAAGTCACAGGAAGCTATCTATGGCAATATTTGTAGGTTAGTTACAGACCAGTGGACAAAGGAGTTTATGATAATTCCGTTTCTGTGCAATAGAAAACAGCCATATCAATTTACAGTAAATTCTAAAGTGAAAAGAGAGGAGTGGAAGAATTTAAAACTGGATTAAGAAAGAGAAAGGATGGAGAAAAAAGGTGACAGAATAATGACTATGTGAATGATATTTATGATCGGTTCAGATCAAAGAATAAAAGGTTGTGCCATTTTAATTTCAATACCTTTGTATGGCATAGAAACTGCTCATACCTCACCCCTTATCTGTGTCCCTTGAAGACTTGTAGCTTCTTGAATAGACTTGTACTCAGTTTGCTTTTAACCTGGACATCCTAGCTGTGCAGGGACACCCCTTGTGTTCTCACTGATGCACCTTCAGCAGGAAGTGCTGGCGCTTAGTGCCACCTTCAGGAAAGTGACTGCCTTGTTGGTCAGACTTTGTGCAAACCGAAGAGCAAGCACTCTTAATGGAAGATGTTACATAATGCTGTTTTCCAAAGCAGTTATAAAACAAATCACCACCACTACCACCACCAGTTTGAGCATCCCTAGTCCCAAAATTAAAAATCCTAAAAGCCCCAAAGTCCAAAACGTTTTTTTGGGCCCACATGACACTACAGAGGAAAATTAACACCTGACCTCATATAATGGGTCATAGTTAAAATACAGGTGCAATAAAGATAACATATAAAATTGCCTTCAGGCTATTTGTATAAGGTGTATATGAAACATGAATGAATTTTTTGTGTTTGACTTGAACCCCCTCTCCAAGATATCTCATGTAAATGCAAGTATTTCAACCCCACACCCCTTTAAACTTAAAATCTGAAATACGGGGCTGAAGATATAGCTCAGTGGCAGAGTATTTGCCTAGCATGCATGAAGCCCCAGCTCCTATCTCCAGTTCCGAAAAATTTAAAAAAAAGAAGAAGAAGAAGCCAATCCATCAATCAACCAATTAATCAGTCTGAAACACTATTGTTTTCAAGCTTTTCAGATACTCCACCTGTCTAGATCTAATAGAAAAATTAGCCTCACTCAAATTTTCCTGTAACCTTCATCCCTTTTGCTTCATTGTCTTAAAAGAGTAATCCAGTCTGTGATTGACTCTCTGGGAACTGAAGGTGATACACTGTCAGTAGAAAAGGGAACATTTTCTATCAGCTTTGCTTTCAATGAAAAGAGTCTATATACTAAAGAGGAATTCCATGTCCGTTCTGTTCTTTTAATGAGTTCTGTTTTTCAGCAATGATTAGCATTTCTCTTCTTCATTTGATTATAATTTTCTTTTCCTTCTTTTTAGCAATTCTTTTTTTTATAAGACAAATACACATCTGAATAGAAATATGGGCCCATTTTAGAATTAAGTCCTTCAGCATTCCTTTTTTTCCAATCCACTTTTTTTTCTAAGCCACCTCCAGTATTCCGGTTTTATCAATTACAAATTACAATAGGTAAATTACAAATACAGTCCTGCCTTAGAATGCTTCAATCATTTGCTCTTTACACAAGTAATAACAGAGTGGTTATTTCCAGTGTCAAGATAGATTTTCTTAGCAAGGCACTTCCTTGTGATTGGAGTGGAGTTCTCTGGAACATCGATGTATGGGGGTATAGAACGCTTCTTTAGCTAACAATGTGAAAGCTTAATATTTTAAGATTTTATTTAAAAATAATTTCAAACATATAGAAAAAATTCAAATTAAAAATAGTACATTGAATACCTATATAAATTTTGCCTAGATTATTATTTGGTTTCATTTGTTGTATTATTATGCTTTTCTCTCTCTCATTTGAGACTAAGTTATATGACTGCTTACCCTAAGGTACATCAGTGCTTATTTATTATGAAAAAGCATATAAAACCACAGTAAAGTTATCAACATCAGCCACTTTAATATTTCTTTCTAATCCACCTTCAATATTTCAGTTTCGTCAGTTGACCTTAACAATATCCATTCCAAATCTTTTTCTTTTTGGTACAGGATTAAGTCTAAGATAAGGTAGTGTATTTAGCTGCCATACTGATTTAGTTTCCATACTGATTTAGTTTTCTTTAATCTGGAATGTTTTCATAGGCTTAGACTTTCTTTGCCTTTTCTGACATTGAATTTTTTCTTCCAGTACCACAGATTGAACCCAAGGGCACTCTTCCACTGAGCTAACTCCACAATCCTTTTTATATTTTATTCTGAGACAGTGTCTTGCTAAGTTCCTCAGACTGGCATGACATTGAAAGTTTTGAAGAGTATAGTACCTTATAGTAATAAATAAATAAAAGAGATAATGTTCTTCATTTTGGGTTTGGCTGCTTTTGTTTAGATTCAAGGTATGCATCCCAGGCAGGAATATGTAAGTGACATTGAAAGATATATTTTTGCTCACATCATTAAAATACTAAAATATAAAGATTCCCTCAGTGGTCCCAGGACATAAATAATGTGTCTCTTGGTATTGTCTTTCAAAATAATGAATAGCGTATCAGTCCTGAAAATTTTAAGATCAAACTGTGAAAACAGCTGGAGGGGACTCAAAGGGATTATATTATTTCTTAAAATGTTAAAATAGATGGTAAGACCTCTGAGCTTACCTAGTGCAATGATTTCATTTTACCAAAAAAAAAAAAATTGAGTCTTGCCTTTGAGAGATTAAGTGTTCTATCTTTTCTCCTTCCTGACTTCCTCTTGTTTCAGATGAAAATTGTCTTTAATCTACCCTGAAATTAAACCTCTTGCTTCCTTGACAGCAGATGCTCTGTGCTCCTGTCTTGGTCTGAATGCCATCCCCTGGTCTCCGCGAGATCCTTCCCTACAAACATCTGACAAGTAACCCTTGTCCCCAGAAAACCATCTGCTTGATTTTTTTTCTCTTCTCCTTTATTTTAGATCTGTTCTCCCTCCAGTTCTTTGTTTCTTGTCTCCCCATTTTTTTATCAGTTAGTCCTTGAATTCTTGGCATTGTTGGGGATGCAGCTCTGGATCCACTTGCTTTCAGGGTCTCCAAGTCATCCCACTCCCTCCCATTCCTTGACCCTCCAGCTCAGCAGGCAGTCAAGACCCACTCCAAGGCTACTATTTTTTTTTTCCAGCTCCCCTTCTGTGTGTCTAAGAAAGTTACTTAGAAACATTCTGACTGGAGGTGACAATTTTTGCTTTCTCTGGAAAAGAACACAATTCTTTCCTTTATCCTCCCTGTTGTTAGTGTAAATGCCTTCTCAGAACTAGAGGGAACATGAATTT